TCGAGGGGAAAACATAGCGACCTCAGAACTCAATACCATATTGGTTCATGTGGGTGGCTGTCACAAGCTAATTAAACAATCAGGGTTTTTAATTGGTGAAATACAGACTTATTTCACGTGTCCAAGTGCAGCATCATCTCGCCCACAATGCACTGCACGGGTCTGGGATTTTAACTGTGGGTGTAATTTTTTTTTTCCACAAAGCAATCTTAATTTTTCTGTAATTCTTGAATAAAATGCTCTTAACTTTGAAGCTTGTTTTGTTACTATATGCTACATCAGAGCTGTATGTAAACTTGCAAATAATTCCTGATACACATGGAGGGCCCAAAATTATTGAAAAATCTCACTAGCGAGAAATAAAATCAACTAGTCCTGAATATTACTCTAAACTTGTTAGGCACTAGTAACTAGATGCAAGTACAAGTGTAATTTTTATTTCCAAATATCGTGCTTATAAATTAACCTGCAATACATGTACACGACTCAAAAATTATAAATGTCATTTATACAGAAATTGAAATATCTGTACGAAATAATGTAGATTACTTAATACACTCCAGATTTATGTTGCGAATATGCTTGTCATCACGTCCAGTTTCCTATACCTTTGTATTTGCAACAAGCGAAAACTTAACAGCCCAACACTATTTAAAGGCAATGCCGAAATAAGCTGATGTTTTAATATTTAGGTCAAAGTATCGCCTTGTGTAATTACGCACCATACATCCAATGGATAAAGAATTTATTTTATCTGCTGCCTATCAATAGTTAGCATGCTTCCAAGAGTATTACTCTGTAAATGTGTATTGTAGTAAGGTAGGTGGATGGCTTGGCCCAATGCACCTAATCCAATAAATTGCACCCTCTAGCCAAAAACAAACACTTGTATGAACATTAAGATGTGATTTATCAGAGTATAGCAAATGCATCACAACAGTATTTTGTTTTATTTGCTTCCTACAAATGTTTAACAATAGAGGGCGCACTGAATAGGAATAGTGCTTTGAGAGGCAGCTTGGGTGTTAAACTATACACACAGAGCAGAAAGACATTAAATTTTGAGCACAGAGGAAATGCACCACCACATTCCCACAATATTAAATGTAATTAAACTAATAACATACCATGATGAGAAAGTTAGCAATGTAATTATGACAAAAAAAGCACCGGCTTGAAAATTAATGAAATAATTCACCAAGTTGCACAATGATTTACTTGATCCCTGTGGATCCAGTATGGTGAATTACTGAAAAGGTACAATAATGACAGTTGGAAATGCTCTATATTGAAGTGTTAACATAATTTGCTCTAATGCAAGCACGTCTTTACTAAAACCACACTTCAGTAGTAATAGGGCAAAAACAAGTTAAAAATTGATTTGTGATTCAGACATTCTTTAAAAGTACTATAACTTATACATTATCTGAAAGCTTAGATATAGGTGAATATAGTAGTGCATACGCCGTACCAATGTTTGTCTACAGGATTATCTGATTTATAAATTTCACTATTGTAATTTTTGACCAATCAGATTATTGAAAATGCATTTTTTAACACTTTCATTTTCAACTCTGTAGGCTGGAACAACTGCATCTTGTTTTTCTTCTTCATCAGCCTTTTTTTTTTTATAGCTATGACTAAGTAACTAGGCATGCTACTGACAGTCCATTGAACATTTTTAACAGACTGTAATTTGAAAACTAAAGCAAAATTCAGATTGTACACTGTCATTAAAAACAGCTCACAAAAAAAATGTGGAAACATGGCAGAGTGTAAAACCACCTGTATTTATCTAAGCTTTCAGAAGATATGTAGAATGTTATCAGTATAGTTGCATGCTTAGTAACTTTTATAGAATATCTGAATCACAGATAACTTTATGCTTCCCTTGTTTCTACCTTAGATCTAATATTACATATTGGATCATTGAAATAACTTCTTTACATAAACATGTGTTACTAATAGAGCAAATATGATAATGTATTTAAAAACTATTCATGAGTGAATTTCTCGCATCACAAATGTTTCTACCAAAGGCAATGTATTAATTATTTTGGTACCAGTTATACCAATTTCATGCACATATCAAGTGGAGACAATATCTAGACATATCAAGTACCATATACTGTACATTGTTGACACATGACCAAACTCTCTAATTATATACAATTTTTTCAAATTTACATGATTAATTTATCTCAGTTCGTACAGTAAAACTGAAAAAAAATTCCAATACTGTCTATTAAAGTCACTTGTTACAGAGATTTGTTGATAGAATACAGTAACCGATAAACCCATGATTCACAAGTAACAACTCGCTTTTACTAACAACTATAATACAAAATGTCCATTGCTTGGCAACCATGTGGTTTTTATAAATATTTATCAGTTTATCCAAATAGCCAAATGACAATGTCTGTGATTGAGTTTGCACTATGTGGTTGTATCAGACTGGTTCCCCAGTAGCTGGTCGTGTCAGTCTGGTTCCCCACTAGCTTGTGTCAGTCTGGTTCCCCACTAGCTGGTCGTGTCAGTCTGGTTCCCCACTAGCTGGTCGTGTCAGTCTGGTTCCCAACTAGCTAGTTGTGTCAGTCTGGTTCCCAACTAGCTAGTTGTGTCTGTCTGGTTCCTCACTAGCTGCTTTTGTCAGTCTGGTTTCCAACTAGCTGGTTGTGTCAGTCTGGTTCCCAACTAGCTAGTTGTGTCTGTTTGGTTCCCAACTATCTGGTTGTGTCTGTCTGGTTCTCCACTAGCTGGTTGTGTCAGTCTGATTCCCAACTAGCTGGTTGTGTCCGTCTGGTTTACTACCAGCTGGTCGTGTCAGTCTGGTTCCCCACTAGCTTGTCGTGTCAGTATGGTTCCCAACTAGCTGGTCGTGTCAGTATGGTTCCCAACTAGCTGGTCGTGTCAGTCTGGTTCCCAACTAGCTTGTCGTGTCAGTCTGGTTCCCAACTAGCTGGTCGTGTCAGTCTGGTTCCCAACTAGCTGGTCGTGTCAATTTGGTTCCCAACTAGCTGGTCGTGTCAGTCTGGTTCACCACCAGCTGGTCGTGTCAGACTGGTTCACCACCAGCTGGTCATGTCAGACTAACTGGTCGTACAAGTCTGTTTCACCACAGGGTGGTCGTTTCAGTCTGGTTCTCTAACACACCCCTGGACCAGTAATCCTAAGTACACGAAGAGCTGA